CTCCTCCGCCCAGCCTCAGCGTATCGGCCGACAAGGTACCAACGCTCCTCGAGCGAGACCTCGAGGGGCGCCTGGGCTCGCCAAAGATGGTGATGGGAATGCCGTCGTCATCGTCATGGCCGCCTCGCTGGCGAGAGCAGGTACGCTGATGCGCCTCCAGGAGCGCTGCGCCATACGCCGCCAGCTGTGCTGAGAGGCCGCCACCATGAGGAACGACGGCACGATCGCGAGAGCCATGTCCACGGGAGCCCAGGTCATCAAATAGCCCATCACGTTTGGATTGCAAGGTCTTGTGCGTATCCTTGTAGCCAGTTGCGCAGACCATGGTCTCGATGGCGGCCTTGTCCAGCTCAGTCGACGATGGCGTCGTGGGCTCATCGCTTCCATATGCGAAGCTATACACTTCAGCTGGCAACTTTGATGGCATCTCGGGGTAGTTCTTGATGTGAGGGCCCTTGTATACCTTCGACGTGTCGAGGTTCGTGAGCTCGCCCTGCACGTACTTCATCAAGCGCTGCTTCTCCTTGGGGTCGCAGTAGGCAGACGACCCCTTGCCAGCCACGATGACGATGGCCATCAGCCTCTTCAACGTAGATGGGGAAGGGCACGTGAGTCCGACCTTGTAGAGACGACGAGCCATGCACTCGAGCTTCCCCTCATCGGACACCTTCCTGTCGTGTATCACCGCCCACTCGTCGGCCACAAAGTAGTTGTGCGCGCCGACCATGTTCTGCTGCGTCCTGGCCTTTCTGTCTGTGGAGGCATGCTTCATGGTGGCGCGATCGACCGCTTCGGCCAAAGCGATCTTCTGAGCAACGTCCCACGGGCCGCCAGCAAGAGCCTGAAGGACTGGGCCTACGGTGCTTTCGGTGAGCCCCTCCACATCAGCGACCTCGGCCAAGAGGCGAGTGCACTGGCTACGCATCACGAACTCCTTGCTCAAGCCAAGGTTCACCTGCTGGTCGATGAAAGCGTAACGATGCGTGATGCCTGCCACGAGGTCAGCAGCCGCAGAAGATTGCATGGGCCCGCGAGTGGATACCAAGCGCAGAGGAGGAGGCGCAGGTAGCGAGCTAAACAAGACTGATGAGCCAAAAACGGCTACGGGACGAGACGCCATCAGCCGTACCCCAGGGACCCAAGTCACATCGTCTGGTTGGGTGTAGTTGCGACGGGGACCGTTGACACGCCTCTCAGACACACCTCGTATCCCACGTTACACATACACCAGATCACACGTACAGGCCTCAAGGGGCCTCGAAACGACAGTGGCCTTACATCAGAAGCACGCCCGAGCAGCAAACTCTGACGCCTCTGCCCTGTAGGTCGGGAAAACAGGCTGGCGGGGCTCAAATGATCTCGCGTCGACCCTCGACGCGAGATCATCCAATACAGGCACATAGATGATCTCGCGTCGAGGGTCGACGCGAGATCATTTGATCTCGCGTCGAGGGTCGACGCGAGATCATTTGGGGTCTCCAGGGGCCCTGCAAAGCTAACGGTCCTGGATCAATGATCTGTGCTCCGAAATATGCTAGCTGTGGTATCGGCTGTCACATGTTTGCGACTCCCCTGGCATTGCTTGTCTCATGATCTGGTGGGCCTCACTGTTATGTTTTCCCCGTTGCTTGTATCCACTGCACCGCGTGCGCAGCGCCTGCGACGCTCGAAAATCACATGCCTGACGCATGCTATCCCAATCGAGCGCCCACCTCATGCAGCTACGTATGTACGTGTACAGCGGTCGGCCTTGCACTCACTCATCCTCATCGGGCTCGGTGTGGTGCTGGACGTAGTACTCCTGCACCACCTTAGCGAGGCGATTGACGGCGTCCTGAAACGCCTCCTTGTCGTTGAAGTCTGCTTGGACCTTCATCGAGTGCTTGCGCCACTTGCCCTGGTTGATGTCGTAGAAGCGGCACATTAACCCCATGCGTGCATGCGACCACTGCACATTTGCCTCAAGTACCTCTGGAACCCACGGGACCTGGTCAGCCATCGGCTTCTTCGTGAGAAGGGTCACGTTAGCATCTGTAAGCTCGATCACCAGTGGCGAGCGCTTGTATGGTGCGCTCATGACCCTCACCACATGCTGCTGCCCACTCTCATCACGAACGGTCACCTCGACGACCTTCTCCACCTCGTCGATCATGGAGCGCTTGGCCTTCTTCAGAACAGGCCCCTCATGTTGCTCGTCCTTCTTGTCTGCGCCAGGGTCCACGTCGACATCAGCAGCTGCGGCCATGAGCTGCGTGCACTTGATCATCCGAGCATCCTGGATCGCCTCCATCATCTCGAACTGGTGGTTCACAAGCTTGCCGAACGCCAAGCTCTTGCGCGAGCACTGGAGGAAGTTAAGCCCCGAGTGCTCAATCACCTTAGCGACCCACGAGTTGGCTGGACAAGGTTCTTCATGCAGAGAGATGCAAGCGAAACCAAAGGCCACGCGCGCCATCGCAATCGCACGTGAGACTGGCGACGTGCAAACCCAAGCGAAGCCAATCGAGCCGATATGGCTACGGAAGGACGCTTTAGGGTGATGCATGTGAGACCATTCGTAGTTTCAGAATGTGCCGAGTTATTCTTGGTGGGTCTGTGACTCAGCCCCCTCTGGGCTCGGCCCTCTCGGGGCCCGACACCTCCGGAGAAACGCAGGGAACTGCCAGAGGTCCGATACAGGACCCCCCTTACGTTTATAGGCATTTCGCCAATCCCTTTGCACGTTTTGTTTCGAGAGGTATTGCAGTTGAAGTAGCAATAACATTGGCAGGAGGAGGAGGAGGGGGTGAGGAGGATGAGGATACGGACGAGGAGGAGGAGGCGAAGCCTTGACCGTTAGACCCCTCGTGGCAAGCCCGAGCAACACAATGTTGGAAGATACGGGGGATGAGTATAGGGGGATGTACGGATAGGAGGATGAGGAGGATGTCTCACTGTAGCTTGCGAGCACGGCTTCGACTGGTTCCGAAACGACGCCCGATGGTAGACCGCGTGTTAAATGCGTGGCCGAGCCGCGATGTGCACGTCACCCGCATCGTGCGCAGCACTGGCCGAAACATGCAAACACCTCACTCACTAGTGAACTGCCACTGATCAAAGAACTTTGAACACTTAAAGCCACGCGATGCTGGCTGACCTACTTATCTAATTGCGATGATCTGCGATCGAGCTGCGCTGAACTATCGCTGCTGGCGAGCGCCACGCGCATCAGCCGTGAGTCGAACACGTTGTTTCTGAGAGCCCCCCTCCGCCCCCCGCACTTCATTATCCTGCCTCCCTCTGCTATAACTCATTTCCCCATCGCAGGTCACCCTCAGACTTGGCCCCAAACACACTGACCATCGGATCAAGGCTGCTTCTTGCCCCTGCCCTTGCCTTTGCCCCCCTTGCTGGGGGAAGCCGCGGCAGCAGGGGCAGACGAGGAAGGTGGGCCCACAAACAACTCCGCGCCCTGCAGGATCACTTTGTGATTCCACATGCAAGGCACTGCGATGGAACTGGACGCGGACTTGCCAGCACCCTTCTCCACGACAGGTGCGGCATTAGTCTGGACCTTGAGGAGCCCGAGGGTCACGTTCGGGCTGTCCCCAACTTGCACACAAAAAAAAGGTGGGAGGAACGGTGTGGCCTTTGCTTTGCCAGGAGTGGCAACGGACAAGGGAAACTCAAGCTTCGGCACAACATAGGCACACTGGTTGTCAGGAATGCCAGGGATGCTGGGGATCTGCGTGCCACTCGGAGGGACTTTAGCAGCTACAAAAATCGTAGAAGACAGCGGCACGAGCAACAGTTGCCCTTTCTCGTACCTGCGCAGAGCTACAGCACCCTTGACTGCAGGCTTGGGCTGCTCCGCAAAAAGAACCTTAACCTCGACCAGCTTCTCGAAGAACTGGTACGCGTGGAGCAGGCCGAGAAACAACGTAGACTTCGCATTGTTCAGCATGATCTCCTTGTTCTCCTGGGGGCGCTCTCTCCCTCCCTCCCTCTCGTCCCTCCCCCCCCTCCCTCCACCCCCTCCCTCTCTCACTCGCTCTCTCTCTCTCTCTCTCTCTCTCTCTCTCTCTCTCTCTCTCTCTCTCTCTCTCTCTCTCTCTCTCTCTCTCTCTCTCTCTCTCTCTCTCTCTCCTCTCTCTCTCTCTCTCTCTCTCTCTCTCTCTCTCTCTCTCTCTCTCTCTCTCTCTCTCTCTTCTCTCTCTCTCTCTCTCTCTCTCTTCTCTCTCTCTCTCTCTCTCTCTCTCTCTCTCTCTCTCTCTCTCGAGGGGTGGGGTGGGGGGGGGGGGGGGGGGGGGGGGGGGGGGGGGGGGGGGGGGGGGGGGGGGCGCTCTATCCCTCCATCCCTCCACTCCCCCCCTCCCTCCTCCCTCCCCCCCTCCTCCGCCCCTCCTCCCTCCCTCGTCCCTCCCTCCTTCCTCCCTCCCTCCCTCCCTCGGTGCACCGTCTGCCTCTTCTCCTGTTTCCCTCACCGAAAACAAAACAGCAAGGGTCCAGGAATGACGCCAGGGCGCCGTCCGCGGCGCCCACGATGGTCTCCATGGTGCGCTGCGGCTCCACGACCTGGGAGGAGGCGGAGGACGAGGAGGACGAGGGGGAGGAGGAGGATGAGGAGGAGGAGGACGACGAGTCACGCAGGCTGGGAGAAACTCAAAGGGAGAAGTGGAGGATGAGGAGGAGGGCGAGGAGGAGGAGGAGGAGGGGGGGGGGGAGGAGGAGGACGACGAGGACGAGGACGAGGACGAGGACGAGGGCGAGGACGAGGAGGGGAGGATGACCATCAGCCACGCGTTAGGCGTTTCCCACCGTTTTTGTCTAAAGTCAGGCGTGAAGCAACACAAACATCGGAGACTGACACGTCTGATAGACAGAGGGTCGGGCGAGGGGAGAAGGACGGACGATGAGGAACAACGTTTGGCTTTAATCGGTTTGAAACTAAAAAGGGCGCACCGATAAGACTGGAGTAAGATGGGGATGCGGGGGAGCAGGGTTGTTAAGTTGTTATTACATTAGCAGGATGCCCTGACCTTCCACTGATCGACGAGCGTCGCGATGGCCACGGGCGTCGCGTCCACCTCCTCGTCGTCCACCTTGGAGTCCTGGAGCGTCGTGTCCACGACGTGAGCGGTGTCGGCCCCCAATGTCTTGATGATGTACAGGTGGCTCTTGACGAAGTCCTTGGCCTGCGCGAGCGGCTGGACATTCGCTCCCACCACGAAGCCTAATGCCCGCAACGACTCTCCATCGATGGTGCCGTCGGGGTTATACTGGATCATGGTCTTCTGGGCCTTGCAGGCCCGATCGCCCTTGGCCGAGAACTCGGACTTGTACGCCCAGGGAGTCACGCTGCCCCGTGCCTCAGGGTAGACGTTGAACACTTCATCTAGGAACTCATTGGCGATGTGCTCGAGGCTGTCGTAAGCCTTGCGCTTGCCGCTCTTCTTCTGGAAGAGGTGCATGATGCACTTGACCTCGAAGAAGCCGCGGAGCTTGATCCACGTGGAGATCGGCACGGTGCAGCCCTCCTTCTTGGATAATGTCTCCAGCCACTGCTTGCTGACGCGCCAGTAGGACAGAACCTTGATGAACTCCTCCTTCTTGGCGCCCGTCACGACGGCGAGGTCCGCGCTCGAGACGATCTTGGCGACGTTGTTGGTGCATAAGTTCTCTGGCGCAACCAAAGATGCCTTCAAGATGGCCGTCGGGACTTCTGCCATGGTCTTCGCCTGGAACTGGGCGAGCACCTTGAAGGTGACGGGCGCGATGTCTCGGCGAAACGAAAGCACCTTGCTGAAGTCGTTCAGCTCAAACAACATGTACGGCGTGTTGCCGCCAGACCACCTCTCCACGTAATCGGCGATGTCGGCAATCTGCCCAGCCATCGTCGGATGCTGCCTCTCGATGGCCCTCGCCACCTGCTCCTTGCGGTATTCACCGAGCTTCTTGAAGTTGGACATCATCCTGGAATGCACTTGCAACATGGTCTGGACCTTGGTGACTGTACGGTTGGCTCCGTGGTGCTGGTTGCCAGCCTCCCGCAGAAATGCAGGAAGATTTGGACAGCACGATTCCACTTCCCATCGGATGCAAAGCCACTTGAGACCATCCTTCATCGGAGCAGCGAACCCTGGGTCCTTCGCGAGAACCTTAAAGAAGAATCCCAAACTACACCCACTTTGAAGCATGAGTTTGGGGAGGGGGTATCTGTGTTATAACACATATACCCCCTCCCCAAATTCATGCTTGTGTGGGTCAAGTTTGGATTTCCAAAACCTTCTCCTTCGAAAGGAAGCCGTTGTGGGACAAGTCCTTGAGGAAGGTCCTGCACCCTGCCTCGACGATCTTCACTGATGCTACCGTGTGCGAAGATGTCACACTCAGGAGCTTGACGAGCTCGGGCGTCATCGACGGCAACATGCCGCCCGATCCCTGGACCAGTGCATGGATGAAGCCCAACTGTTCCTGATGGCCAGGCTTGTCCTGAGGAATGGACTCGAACGCGATGGGCTTGCCTACCTCGGACCACGACCACCCGCAACCAGTGATGAAGTCGAGCAGCTCGTGGACGTCGACTGGGTCGAGCCCCATCTCGAATCTGTTTTTCGGATGGGGCCAAACCTTCTCGTTCTCCGACGTGCTCCAGTATGCCAGCGAGTGCTGCAGCAGCAGTTCGCACAGCTTGTCGGACGTCGATTTCATCTGCGTCATATCTGACTTGACCTCGCCAGTGCTGGTGTCGTAGTGGGGGTCGATCAGCTGGTTGATCTCTCCCTGGATCGACTTCGCACGCTCCATCACAGAAGCCATAACTCTATCACGCAAGAACTGATGACAGCACTCTCAAACACAAAGTGTCTCGATCCGAAAGTGTTACGCATGATGGTGAACATGGTGATGGTGATGTCAACTTTCTGGGCCTAGAATCCTGAAAACAACATGCCCCGAACTCAAAATCTCATGTTCAAACGGCACACTTTCATATCCAGAAGACAGACCTCGTGCAACCTCAAGCGTCGAAGTAACATATCGGCAAAGAAGTTCTGGAGATATTGAAACCTGGTTCGGAAACGCGCTAACCTGAACCCCGAAGATCGTTAAATGCAATAATCGATCAGATCCAGGAAGATGAGTTCACCAAGTATAAGGTGACCTTCCAGAGCTACAGTCCTATGTTCACCCCTAAGATCCAGAACTACTAACCTCCTGAACCGTTTCGGAAACAAGGCGGTGATTCAAGCAGACGCCCGGGCACCCGGACACCCGGACACCCGGACACCCGGACGCCTGGACACCCAGGCACCCGGAGACCCGGGCACCAGGACACCCGGGCACCAAGACACCCGGACACCCGGGCACATGGACACCCGAGCACCGGGACACCCGCGGACACCCGGACACCCAGGCACCCGGGCACCCGGACACCCGGACACCCGGACACCGGGCCCGGACACCCGGACACCCGGGCTTCCGGACACCCGGGCACCCGGACACCCAGGCACCCGGGCACCCGGGCGCCCGGACACCCGGGCACCCGGACACCCGGACACCCGGGCACCCGGACACCCGGACGCCCGGACGCCCGGACGCCCGGACACCCGGACGCCCGGACACCCGGACACCTGCGGGCACCCGGACACCCGGACACCCGGGCACCCGGACACCCGGGCACCCGGGCACCGGGGCGCCCGGACACCCGGACACCCGCACACCCGGACACCCGGACACCCGGACACCCGGGCACCCGGGCACCCGGGCACCTGGACACCCGGGCACCCGGACACCCGGACACCTGGACACCTGCAGACACCCGGGCACCCAGACCCAGACACCCGGGCATCTGGGCACCCGGACGCCTGGACGCCCGGACGCCCGGACCCGGCCACCCGGACACCCGGACACCCGGACACCCGGGCACCAGGGCACCCCGGCACCCTCACACCCGGACACCCGGGCACCCGGACACCAGGGCACCCGGACACCCGGACGCCGGGACGCCTGGACACCCGGACACCCGGACACCCGGACACCCGGAGACCCGGGCACCTGGACACCCGGACACCCCGACATCCGGACGCCCGGACACCCGGACACCCGGACGCCCGGACGCCCGGACACCCGGACACCCGGACGCCCGGACACCCGGGCACCCGGACACCCGGACACCCGGACACCCGGACGCCCGGACACCCGGACACCCGGACACCCGGACACCCGGACTTCCGGACACTCGGGCACCCGGACACCCGGACACCCGGGCACGAGGACACCCGGACACCCGGACACCCGGACACCCAGACACCCGGACACCCGGACGCCCGGACACCCGGACACCCGGACACCCGGACGCCCGGACACCTGGACGCCCTCAGGCCCTGACGCCCGGACGCCCGGGCACCCGGACACACGGACACCCGGACACGCGCCCGGGCACGCACCTGGGCACCCGGGCACGGTAAAATAGTCATATACCCCGTCGTCGTCGCCGCCGTCGTCGTCGGTGTCGTCGTCGTCGTCGTCGTCGTCGGCGTCGTTGACGTCGTCGTCGTCGTCGGTGTCGTCGTTGTCGTCGTCGTCGGCGTCGTCATCGTTGTCGTCGTTGGTTTTGCAATCCAAGTTGCGGGTGGGTGGGTGGGATGTTTGCAAGAGCAAGGGATGTGTCAATTCGTTTGTTTAGATCAATTGCACCACGTAGATTCTCCTTTCTAGAATGAGAATCGGTTCTACCACCCTCCCCTCCCCAGAGTGAAAGACCCCACGGGAACCTTTAAAAAAACATAGGATTCTGACCCAATGTCCATCCTACCAGTGAATTCATACTATCCCAGCCAGGCCGGTATCGACCCCCCCCCGCCATCCTTTGCAACAGATGCTATGAGCGCACATTCGTTCATGAAAAATCATAAATGTCCAAATGCCCTTTGCAATTAGTGGGACGCGCGCGTCGTCGCGCGCGCATGCCGAAATCCTGCAAACACCCTCGTTTTCGGAAGGACTTCAAAATCGAGCTTCCAAAAAACATATAAAAACACAGGGTTACGCAACAGTGGTATTCTACAAAAGATTACGCGCGCGCTCATGCGAAATACTACCAAACGGGCTTCGCACGCGCGCATGTCGAAATCTTTCGAACGTCCTTGCGCGCGCGTGCCGTCGCGAGAACCCTCTGCAAACAATGTTACGAAGTGCACGCGCGCGCGTCGTCGCGCGCACGCTGAAATCTTTCAAAAACCTTCGGTTTCCGAAAGATTTCAAAATCGAGTATCCGAAAAACAAACACAAGCTTTCGCAACACGGGTTTTCAACAAAAGCGTGCGCGTTCGCTCTTGCGTTGTCGTCGTCGTCGTCGTCGCCGTCCTCCTCCCTCGTCGTCGTCGTCGTCGTCGCCGTCGTCGTCCTCTGTCTTTTCTCAACGTCGTCGTCGTCCTCTTTGGCGTCGTCGTCGTTTCCGTCGTCGTTGTCGCCGTGGTCGTCCTACCTCCTCCCTCGCCGTCGTCGTCGTCTGTCGTCGGCGTCTCGTCGTCGTCCCTCCTATTTCGTCGCCGTCGTCGTCGTCGTCGTCGTCGTCGTCGTCGTCGGCGTCTTCCCTCCTCCCTCGTCGTTGTCGTCGTCGGAGTCGCCGTCCTCCCTCCTTCTTCTTCGTTCGGGTCGTCGCCGTCCTCCCTCCATCGTCGTTGTCGTCGTTGTCGCCGTCGTCGTCCTCCCTCCTCCTTCGTCGTCGTCGTCTTCGTTGGCGACGTCATCGTCGTCGTCTTCGTCGTCGTCGTCGGCGTCGTCGTCGTCGACGTCGTCGTCGTCGTTGTCGTCTGCGTCGTCGGCGTTGTCATCGTCGTCGTCGTCGTCGTCGGCGTCGTCGTCGTCGTCGTCGGTGTCGTCATCGTCGTCGTCGTCGTCGTCGATGTCGTTGTCGTCGTCGTCGAAGTCGTTGGGGACGTCGTCGGTGTCGTTACATATGGTCGGTGTCGTCGTCGTCGTCGTCGTCGTCGTTGTCGCTGTCGTCGTCGGCGTCGGTGTCGTTGCCACGTGCCATTTGGTACCTACCGTCATGGTCTCAAGAGGTCTTGCGACCAAGTTGCGGGTGGGAGGGTGGGATGTTTGCACGAGCAGTAAAACACAATTTCAATTTGAGCAAGTGATTGATTGCACCAAATAGATTGCACAACATAGGTTGCGCCAAATATAATGTACAACGTAGATCGCACTGATAGTTTGTACCGCGTTGTGTGCACCGCATCTTTTGCTTAACATAGATAGCACAACACATCTTTGCACCACTTAGATTGCGCCACGTCGATTGAACCGCACACATTGCGCATCAATTGCATTGCACCGCGAATAGTTGTATGCCACGTGTGTTGCACCGTGTGTACCGCATACTGTCACAACACAGATTGCACAGCCTGGATTTCGCCACCCATATGCAGCACAAAATAGCCTGTTACACATCGATTGCACACCATCCGTGAACATGTGTACCACCAGCGACACTCTTTGGCGGTCCGCGCTGGCCGCCATCTTCCCGAAGGCCATCGACTTGCGCGCGTGCGGAGACGCGCACGTGTGGCTCTCGCTGCCTGAGCGAGCGCGCGTGCGGCCTGCATGGCCCCATTAGATTTGAGTCGGGCGTGTCCCTCTACAGGAGGATCATGCCAAAATAGTCAGCAAGCAGTCTGGGGACGACCTCTCTACTACGTTGGACCATTTTGGGGTATATATTCTGCTGTGTCTTAATTTTTCCTCGAGCGCCCGCCCGTAGGGGGACACGCCCGACCGAACAGTAGATAGAATGACTAAGCACATGCTGCAGCCCGATGATCTGGACGAGCGCCCGTGCAGAATCAGAGGTCCTCCGAGAGCCAGTGGTTTTGATCGGAGGCTTGGGGGGGCGGGGTCGCGGCGGGACGGAGGGCCCCTCACCGGCAAGTCGGTTTCGGTCTCGTGTCCGCGTCGCGCGTGCGGGCGGGGCGAAGCTGCGTGGGCGCGCGAGAGGAGCGACCCCGCCGACGCGAGGCCGATTCGGACGCAGTGGTCCGCCCGCGCCGCCCCCGGTGGGCGCGCGGTGGCCCAGGATGTCCCGCCTTGGTGTCTTGTGGTGTCCCGTTGGTGTCTCATTGGTATCCCGTCGGCGTTCCGTCGGCGGTGGGCAGGGCGGTGGCCGGGGGTATCCCGCCTCGGTATCGGTAGTGAAGTCAATAGTGGGATCGATCATGAGATCGCTCGGATGGCATAGATAGTGAGATCAAAAGTGAGATCGACAGTGAGGTTAATTGACACATTGGTCGTGAGATCGATCGTGAGATCGGTAATGAGATCGATAGAGGAACCGATAGTGAGATCGATATTGAGATCGATAGTGAGGTCGAAAGCGAGATCGATAGTGATAATGCTAGTGGCATCGCATCGCAGCGCAACATCGTCATCACGCGTCGTCGCTGACTCGAGGGCGCGTCACCAGCATCGTCATCATTACACCCATCGCATTTGCCAGCAGTTGGTTCTTTCCCCCCCCCCACCCCCAACCTCCTTATCACCCGACGGGTGGTCGTATAGGTAGTAATTGAACAGGTACGGATTGAAACTGCTGGGGCGCCACTTGCTCTTCCTGGCAAGATTTTACATGCGCGCGCGGCGGCGCGCGCACACATGCGCCTCGCATCGTATGTTCCACGAGGGGCTCTGAGACAGACGACTGCTTGGATCAACGCATGCGCACCGTGTTCTATTCTTTGCAGGGGATGGCTGGGTCGCCGACGAGCGAGGGGGGGGGGAAGCGAGAAGGAGAAGGCCTTCTCGGAATGTTCGGAAGTCTC